TATTCTGTTCATACAAATCTATCCTAAAAATGTTGTCGGCATTAAATAACCCATTGAGGTGTCGATATGCCGTAAAACAAAATGAACCAAACCATCGCTGCAGAAGCTGGAAAACCGGTGAAATTTCTTGTACGGCTCAATAACCTAACAGATTTCTTTCATGCTCAAGCTTTAGAAGAATCAGATCAGATCGGTTCATTTGGGATGTAGATGCTCAATCCTCGATTTTCAGCTTTTACAGAGTTCAGAACCGTTTACGGGGCCTTGTGGGTGATAAATTATTTTACAATCGACAAACCCTTTCCCCACAGATGAATTCTTATGAAAGGCGAGCAGCATTTATTTGTTCTACTAGTCTATAGCTTCACAGGTAGGGCCCATCATGCCAGTTGACACTTCATCCTCTTCGTATTTCATTGGTAAGTAGGAAGTTCTACCCAAACAGGTTCTTAGCTAAAACTACTGCTGTCCGGAAAAGACTCCCGAGAGGATGCTTTCCCGATCGATGCAATCTTACTGTTCCAATTGCTCAGAAAGATCAATTTTTAACTTCCATCAGCATGTCTATTGCTAAACCCCAGAAGAGTGACTCATTGCCCCTTCTCTGTCTAATAATCTCCGCTTACATAAAGTGGCAAAATTATAATGAAACCATTACTGGGTCTATTTGAGAAAGAAAAGAAAGAAAGAAAGAAAGAAGACAAATATATAGAAAAAAGACAGAAAAGAAAAGAAAAAAAAAAGGTAGAAAAAAAGGTCAGGAAAAAAGAAAGAAAAAAAGAAAAAGAAAAAAAGAAAAAAGGAAAAAAGAAAATAGGAAAAAAAAATAAAGGGAAAAAAAAGGAAAAAGAAAGAAAAAGAAAGGAAAAAGAGAAAGAAAAAGAAAAAGGGAAAAAAAGAAAAGAAAGAAAGAAGAAAAAGAAAAAAAAAAGAGAAGAAAGAAAAGAAAAAAGAAAAGAAAAAAAGAAAAGGAAAAAAAAGAAAAAAGAAAGAAAAAAAAAGAAGAAAGAAAGAAAAGGAAAAGAAAAAGAAGAAAGAAAGAAAGGAAAGAAGAAAAGAAAAGAAAAAGGAAAAAGGAAAAGAAAAAAAAAAGAAAAAAAAAGAAAAGAAAGAAAAGAAAACGAAAAGAAATATAGAAAAGAAAAAAAAAAAAAAAGGAAAAACAAGAAAGAAAAAAAAAGAATAGAAAGAAAAAAAAAAGAAAAATAAAAAAAAGAAAGAAAAAAGAGGTAATATTTTCAAGAAAGAAAAAAAAAATTCTGAAAACGAAAGAAAAAAATACAAAGAAAGAAAAGGAAGAAAGAAAGTAAATTTAGAAAGAAAAGGGAAAAAGAAAAGAAATGGATGGAAAAATAAGACGCAAAAGAAAAAGTGTTTTCTTGTTGGAAGACGAAAAAAAAAAAAAGAAAGAAAGAAAAAATAATTGCTATAAATGATAAAAATTTAAACTAAAAGAAAAACCCCAAGAAAAAAAAAAAATCAAAGAAATTTGGAAAGTTTAGAAAAGAAAATTTGACTGAGATAAAAAAAAAAAGAAATTTGAGAGAGAAAATAAAAAAAATAAAAACGAAGAATAGAAAAAAAAGAACTGTTTGTAGAAAGGAAGGAAAAAAAAGAAAGAAAAAAAATTGAATAGAAAAAAAGAAAGAAAAAAGAAAGAAAAAAAAAATTTTTATTCAAAACTAGAAAAAGAAATAATGAAAAGAAAGAAAGAGTGAATGAAATGTGCAAAATGAAAAAAAAAGAGAAAAAAAAAAAAAGAAAAAAAGAAAAAATTAGCCAGAAATATAATTTTTCCCCTTGAAAAAATTGGGAAAAGAAAATGAAATTTCAAGTTTAGAAAAAAAGATCTAAAAAGAAAGAAAATTTTAAATGAAAGAAAGAAAAAAGGTTTGAAGAAAGAAATATAAATGAGAAAATAGATGACTTGAAAGCCCAAAAATCAAAGAAATGAAAAAATTAAAGAAAAAAAGAAAAGTTTTTAAGTAAAAAACGTTAAGAAAGGAAAAATTTTTTTTGAAAACGAACAATATAAAAAGAAAGAAAATAAAGAAAACCTTTTTAAAAACAAAAAGGTTCAAATCTTTCAATTTTAATTGTCGACAAATCAAACTCATATATATTTTTAGATAGTTCAATGAAAAGAAAGAAAGAAAGAAAGGAATAAAACCATATAACTGAAACAGAAGATAGACTGAAAATCAAAACGATAAAAAAAAAAAAAGAAATAAATAATGAAAATAAATGTTGTTTGCAAAAAGAAAGAAAGAAATTGAAAGAAAGAAAGAAAGTTTAAGTCTTTTAAAAGTTTTTATCTTTTGATTAGTAATTTTTTAACCAAAATGAAATAATGAATTTAAAAGAAAGAAAGAAAGGCAAACTTTTTAAAGGAAGAAAGAAAGATTATAGACATCCTTATAAGATATTAGTTAAAGAAAAAAAACAAATAGACAATATATTGACCGCCTGTAAAAAGTTTAATTTTTTATAATAAATACAAATAATAAATAAAGATAAGGATAGAAAGAAAAAAAAAAAAAAAATAAATTTGATAATTTTAATATTATTTGAACACAAAAATAAAATTTATTCGTAAAAAAGCTGTTTATGTATAAATTCTTTTTTGTAGTAAAAAATATAGGAGAAGTTTCTATTTTTTATTTAAAAAACTTCCAACAATGATGAATTAAGAAAGCAAAAATTTCAATCATCTTTTTCTCATTAATAAATAAATTAAAAAAAGTCAAAGAAAACCCGAATAAATGGGGATTTCTGTTTTTTAAAGCATTGGCAAATAAATCCATTTTAAAAATTAATTTTTTCAAGAAAAAACATAAAAAAACAAAGAAAGATATTAATTTTTTTAAAAAAAAAATCAAAAAAAAAAGAAAAATTAAATTCAAAATTTGTTTTAAAGAAAAAAATAGAAAGAAAAAAAGACCCAAATTTATAAAAAATTAAAAAAGAAAATTTATATTTAATAGATGCCAGAAAGGTGAGATAGATAGATACGAATTTAAGAAAAATTTTAATCAGATATATATAACCATATCAGATTAATAATTTTTATTTAACTGAAAGAAAAAAGATAAAAGTACTGAATATTTCCGATTTGAAATTCAAAAAAAAAAAATAAAAAAAATATAAATAAATATAATAATTTCCATATTTTGAAATATTTCTTTTCTCTTTTTTTTATTTTAAATTCAATTAAATGAAATCTAATTATATGTAGTATGACACAAAAAAAATGACAATTTTTCTTATTTTAAAAATTTTCCTCAGAAAATCTTGATAAACAAGACCTTATTTAATCAAAATAAATTTTTTAAAAAGTAAATTGTAAAAATCTTATTAAAAATAGATTTGAGCTTTTAATCTATAAAAATAACAAAAAATTGAAAAATAAATATAGTATATAAATAAAGTCAGATTTTTATCATATATATGCTTTGTTTTTGGTGATATTACATGTTAATATTTATTTCAAAAAACTGATTTTAAAATAGAAACTATAAAAATAACAATACATACGATGAAATGCCAACTTTTTAAAAAAAGAAATCCAAAGGAACAAAATCATAAATTTAACAAAAAAATTGAATAGAATATATAAAAGAAATATATATAATAAATTATTCTAAATTTTATATTCGTAATAAAACCATGAAAAGGTAAAGAATTAAATTTCAACCCTTCTCGCAATTTGACATCCTCCCGAATCATAACTATGATATTTATTTTAAAATTTTATAATTTTTAATTATAAATAAAAATATTTTTTTTATAAACTTCTTTTTATATTTAGGATTTTCCAGCATTAATATATGTTATATGAATATATATTGGGAATATTTTTTAAAAATGTAAATATTATATATTTTTATAAAATTTCTTTATAATAAATTAAAATATTCTCAAATAAATAAACAGTTTGTTAAAAAATATTAATTTTTACTATAAATATATAAATTAAAATCTAATAATTTTTAAAAAAATTAAATGTATATTTTATATAAAATTCTTATTTAAATAAATTATGGCAAAATATTGAATAAATATATAAATAAAATAATCTAAAGTTAATATATTTTTCAATATAAAATATTATTGCAAAAATAGAAAAATTGAAATTTTTTTCAAGAACAAAATGAACCAATAATGCTTCGAAAAATTTTTTAAAAAAATATTGAATAATTTTGAAAGGCTTTGCTGTTTAGAAAAAAGTTATGATTTTTTTATAATTATTTTTTTGTTCCTTGAAAAGTTTGATTTGATAATTAAATTCAAAATTAATGCAGACAATCCAAATTAATAAATTATTTATTATTTCGATCATTTTTATTTCTCAATATAAAAATTGCAATCTTTATATAATTTAATAAAAGATCTAAATTATATTAATATGTTAGAATTTTGATTCATTTATATTTTTTTTATTTATTGAAGATATTCAGTTTAAATTTCTTGAAATAAAGAAATATGGACAATCCGTTTGAAAATTTTAGTTAAACAAATGTTTTTCTCATTTCTTTAAAATTTAAAAAACAATCTTTTCAAATATTTATTTAAAAAGAAAGAAAATCCAAAAAAAAATCTAAAGTCAAAATAATGTTTATCCATCATTTGTTATAAGCATTATGTTTTGTGTTATTTTATATGTTCTAAAAAAATAATTCTTTTTTAAAATTCAATTTAATATTTATATATATTATAATTTAAATTGCATTTGAAATTTTTTAGTTTTTGAAAAAAATGAATTTGAAACATATAATTACACTAAATATATAAATTTATTATTTTAAAAGTATTATTTGTATTTAAAATAATTTTAAAATATATATAGTTATAAATGCAAGTTTTTTTATACATATATTTTATTTTAAATGAGAAATATATTACGGATTTATATATATTTTTAGTTTAAAAAATCTTTACGTGTGGTAAATTTATTAAAATTTGCTTCGTTTAAGTCCTTTCAAACCAAATGCATTTGCTTAAATTTATTTTTTTTATTAAATGTATATTTTATTTCATATAAATGAATTTCTTTTTAAAACAAATTAAAAAAAATTATTTTAAAATCAATAAATATATTTATATAATTCTCAATAAAGTATTAAATCATTTATAATATAATTTATGTTTTTTGGAATTCAAATAAAAGAAATTTTTTTTCAATATATATTAAAAAACTTTATATAAGAATGGATATTATATCAATAATTAAATTTGAAAACAATAAAAAATATAAAAAAAAAAAGAATATTATAATATATCTAATAAATTGAAAAATAAAATGCTGAAATTTTATAAATTAGTTTTTTAAATATTTATAAAATTTATATAATATCTAATATAAATATATATTTACAAGAAAAAATTCCACTTTTTATTTTTTCTTTTTAATCAATGATAGAAATTTCAAATTTATTATATATAAGAAAATAATTCAAATTTTGACATTTCCAATTCAAAAATATTTATTGAAAATAATTAAAAATCATTTCTCTTCCATTTTTATCTGCTTAAAAAATTAATTTAAATAATTTTTTGTTCTTTATAAACACATCCCAAATATTATTTTTTTCTTTTTAAATTTTTTAACCATTATCTTTTATTCAAGAAGAATTTTTAGAAATATCTCAATATTTCAATAACAAAAAAAAAAATAATCCTCACAAAATGTTTGTCTTATGATTTTATAAATTTTTGATTATATCTATTTATTTTATTTCCATTTTCGACTCCATTTAAAACTTGTTTGCAAAAAGATTTTTTGCATGTCTAACATTTTATTCATAATCTATTTATCAATTTATTTTAAAAAATTGGTTTTTTCAGAAATTTTATATAAAATTTCAACATATATATTTTCAAATTAATGCAATGGATATAATTTGTTTATTGAAATTGGAATATAATTAATTTTTTATAAAATCATCTTTTATATCAGCGTTCTATTTTAACCGATTATTTAAGTAAATATAAATATATTGAATTTCATTTATTTTTTTATTCTAAATTTTTTCTTTTTTATAAATAAAAAATTAAAAAATAAAATTTTCATTTTTCTTGACTTTTTTGTCGTAAGCAATTTTTTAAAAATCAATATTTTTTTCTTTTTTTTAAAAATTTTTGGGATAAATGGCATAAAAGTTTGTTTTATGCTGATTTTCCCGGGTTATCAAAAAATATCAGAATCAATTTTTTTAAACTTTATATTTTTTTGTTTATCAAAACTTTGAAAAAAAATGATTTCAAAAATTTATATATAATGTGTAATTATTTCCTAAATTTTTTTTTTGTTGCATATTTCCAAAAATTATTTTTTCTGTATTTGTCTAAGAAAAAAAAGAGTTTTTTTTGATTTTTTTTCTTCCCAATAAAATTATTATAGTTTTTAAATTATATTATTGGCATATTGATAAAATATTTAAAATTATATATAATTGTAAAATACCATATTAAAGTAAAAGATTAATTAATTTTTACAATTTAATTTTGATATATTACCATTTACCAGGTGGCACCATTTAAGGCAGAAAAAAAAAAAAAGAAAAAAGGCAGAAAGAAAGGCGAGACGAATCGTGGGTGATAAAAAGAACACACACGGCTAAGAGACAATGGATAAAGGATATTTTGATAAGTAACAAATGGCGAAAAGGTGTCATTACAATGACAGGGAAATTCTGAGTGGAAAAAGGAAAAGAAAGAAAGAAAGAGATGTGTTTTGGCGTGTTTGTGTTTTATAAGGATACGAAACGGCCGCGTTATCTGAAGGAAAACGTAAACAAACAGACCCACTGGCCAAAAAAAAAATTCAAATGAAAATGTTATTTTGATAATTGACGAAAAAACAGGTGTAACTAAAGGACTTTGGATAGATATGAAAAAAAAACACAGGTAAAAAAGCCAAAAGCCAAACAAATGTGTCCGCTGACCGATTTTTTTTTCGACGAAACATCTTTGGCCTGCGATAATAAAATTATGTTATCAGAAATATGTACCGAAGGAAATGAATGGGAACCAGAAGTGTTTTTCTTCTTCTTGGAGGCGACAGACTGACTGAAACTTTAGAGATATTTCTTTTTGAGGCCGTGTTAAAAAGACCACCCATTCTGATAATTAGCGATAAAATACCTGACGAAACACCACGTGTAGAACAAGAGGAGTCATATTGTCCTGTTTGCGGCTAGAAAAATGATAACGGCGATTAAAAGGAAGAAAAGGAAAAGAAAAAAATAATTTTTTTTTTTAGTTAAGCAAGATATTTTTTTTTTCCTGAAACAAAGCCACGGATTGTTCACGCCCGACTAAGACATCATTGGTCAAGTGGTGATCACGTGACGAAGGAGGAGGAAAGATACCCGACCGCCTCATTGGCCGCCGTGACGCACAAGAAGGCTGTCG